CGAACGCTGCCGAGATCCCAAACTTCCCCACCATCGCAAACGCGACTAAGAGCCACGTCAAAGCTAGAAATAAAGTCAACAACAGGCCCACGGGCCTTGTAAGTAACCTGATTATCATCTAACAACTTTCCAACAAATAAACATAAATATTAGAGCCCACCCACCCATACATAGCTCACTGGTTTAATACACAGGAGCAGAGGAAAAGATTTTCAAACAATTCATGCATTTGCAAGATATAATCATTAAAGACCCGCCATAGTACCAGAACCCCTTACCCTGGGGTCATGAATTTCACAATTTTCGTAGAGGACTCAATGCTTATTACAATCATACGAACAATTTGGCTGCTTGGTGTCCAGGGGTAAAGAAGAGGATTTTTTAAAGTTTGTATTAATTTTGCCCCACCCTTCAGCCCCCATCTACCGAGGGGGGGGGGGAGGGGGCAGGAGCCATGAATTTTACAGTTGTTGTTCTTTTTAAAACAAAGATGCTGAAATTGGTTGAAACTGGTTAATAGAAGAAGCTGAAAATGTTAACGCGTAAGTAACGCACAACGCACGACGACGGACAAAAAAGGATAGCAATAGGTCACCTGAGTGACTCAGGTGACCTAATAAAATGTGGGCTACCTGAAAAAGAACCCACAGGTAAAAGCACTTGGGTTAGCACTATCTCCAACGATTGCGTACCACGGCAATTACAAATAAAATATGAGTTGAATGTTTAAAATATATTACGTGGCATGTGTTATTCAATAAAATGATTGTTTCAGCTTTCAATATTTTTATATCATTTCAAAAGTGACCGATAGTAACAGACTTACAGGAATCGAAGAAAAGAGTTGGTAAAATGGAAAGCAAACACCCGAATCCACTGCCAAACATGACTACAAGGTGCATGGGTTTCCTGCCAGTTTTGTTCATCAGAAAACACAGCGAGTATCCCAGGGCTTCCACGGTCACGCCGATGGCAAAGTTAATATACAAGTTACCAGCAAGTTTGCCCATGTTCAAGGTAAGTCCATAGTATATAAAGGAGATGACAAACCTTGGAAGAAAATAAAAACCATAAAGGAAGGTGTAAAAATAGTGAATTGTATGTTTTATTGCATAAATGATGCGATTTCGGGTCCTTGTCTGTAACATAACAGTATTTTTACCAGTTAGAAAACATTATGATGGAACGAAGCAATAGTTTTCGGGATTTGAGAAGATCCTTAAGAATTTTTAGAATCCCTTCATCTTTCCCTATCTTTATGTCAGAGAGGTCTTTGTTAAATTCCACGTGGTTTGCTTTGGCGACGTTTCGCAAAATTGCCAAGGCCTCTGTGTATCTTTTCCTAGAAACCAACCAACGAGGAGATTCTGGCAACACTTTAGGCCTGAAAAATGCAACGCAATATGTCATCTCATTATATAGGATATCCAAATATTACAGATCTAAGAGAGAGTATCTCTTTCTCTCGATTGAAAAATACAATAAAATGTTTCTAATTACATTCTAGGTACGAAACTGTGGTACTTTGATACTTACCACCAATATAACAACGGTATGGCCATGGGAACAGCTAGTGTGAGCTGTAACCACTTCCAGTCTCTGATTAAAAACCCCAGTAAAAGCAGCAGAAACTCCCCCAGACAATACACCAGAAGTATGCAGGTACCCGCCAAAATTCGGTTCTTTGGTCCAACAAACTCCATGGCTGTTTAAAGCACATATTATAGATATATTATAGATATTATATGTGTGAAAAGATCACGTATCTTTAATTCTGAACATCAAAAGGCAAGAGGATACCCACCTATGATAAAAGCGGCCATGTAAAGACAGTTTCCGCAAAATCCATCAAAGAATCGACAGACTGCGAACATGTAAATGTTGGTGGAGAAAGGCATAGCTATGTTGGCAAGGAAGGTCAGAGTTGTACTTATACATACCATGTATCGACGACCCACTCTGCAGAAACAAACTTTACACAATATCATATACATATACAGTGTATAGCGTATTGTATCCCTACCTACTTTCTGGTGAAAACAGAAAGTTGATATAAATGTGTAAACAGAACAGCCCAGGTTTTCTAGTCCTTGTTCCTTACAGAGTTTAATTTTCTGTTCTTTGAATGGATTCAAAGTACAATTGAAACCGATATTGATTGATTGATTTCATGTTGTTTAACATCCTTCTCGAGAATTTTTTCACTCATATGGAGACGCCACCTCTTGCCGGTAGAGAGCTGCAAATTTTGTCTAATGCTCGGCACTCATGGCCTTTGAGCAGTGAGGGGTCATTTTCGTGCCAGCATCTAGTGCGATACGGGACCTCAGTTTATACGGTCTCATCCGAAGGACCGATTTCTACGTCCCATAGTGGGATTCGAACCCGCGACGTAAGGATCAACTCCTTACTTCGCGACACTAGAGAAGACACTCTAACCACTTCGCCTCGACGAAATCGATATTGAAGCAGGATAAGAAGGGGAAACAGAATCTGAATATTAAAAACATAAATCCAAAGGCATTTACATCAACTGTCTTAGTTAATTATAAAGTTCCTTACAGAACTTTTACCTATGTCGATCACTTACATGTCTCCAAGAGGAACAAAAACAATAGTTGACACTACGGTACCAATGAAATAGGCCATCACTGCATGGGACCCCATCAGTTTCCGGTCACAAACCAAGTTAAACTGAAGAAATGTGACAACAATGCATGAATTTCTGGTTGCAGGCCAGTTTAAACTAAAACGAGTTAGAATTGAGTATTGTGACACCTTAATACATATATTCCTCAAAGAACAATTCTAATCTGATAACCAAAAATACAACTCTGTTCTCCTTTAGAAGTGGAGGAAATTCAGTTCACAAAAGGATATTACAGACATTTTTGAAAAAAAATGTGTTTGTGAAACATTGATGCCCCCGTATTGCAGCTTTTGGCGAAGGTTAAAGTTTCTCAAATTAAGTCAAACTCCAAGGTTTAGAGATGAAATATATTGTTACCTAAAAAGAAAGTCTCTTAAGGTATACCTTTACTCAGATGACTGAAAATTCCACTGATAAGAACGAAAAACCACCTATAGCACATTTTACATCTATAATTCTTGTGTTAAATTTCAATTTGAAATAACTAGGTCAATGACCTACTTTTCTTGCTAGTGGCCCCTGAGTATTTCTCGAGAAATACCTCAATTTTTCACACTATGACCCATTTTTTCTTCATTCACAAAATATTACAAGCAAAACACTTTAAATAGTGAAATATTATAGCATTGGAACAGTGTTGCTCCATATGAAAAAAACGATCAGAGTTTGGGCCGTAAACTTGATAATTATTACAGTCCGAATTTCCTCTGTTGTATTTATATTTTCCCCCCATTTTTAATTGCATATTTAAAAAATCTGACTGATAAGAACTCTAAATTATTTATAGCCTCGTATTACCTTTGTTGCCATTATTCTCATGGTATTAACATTATATGGGGTCAATAATCAAATTATTGAGATATGTTGCCTAAAATGGTTTTTGTTCATAATTTTGAATTTCTTTATTTGATAGCATAATCAATTATTTGAAATAATTTATGAGCTTTAAGACATATAAAATTTGCAAAATGATGTCTAAATATACATATAACATATATATAAAATTTGCAAAATGATGTCTAAATATACATATAGCCTTTGTGATTAATATTGCAAGAAATAAAAGATTTTGACAAAAATGAAAAATGAAAAATTTAGTCCGAATTTCCTCTGCATTACCATACATTGACTTTTGTTCCTGTATATTTTCTTCAAATAATAAAATATGAAATTTTTAAATTGAAATTGAGTTAATACTTAGTAATTTTATCCATTTAGAACAAATTTTGATGTAACATATTATACTTTATGAAATTTCCTTTCTGGTTTCTAAAACCTGAGTAAATGTCATCCTTAATAAATATACCTTTGAAATATAATTTAAGACCAAGCGGTAACCACTAATAAAGTTATGACCAGCAAAGTTAAAGTTTCTTTAAATGTAGGTCAAACTCCAAGATCAAGGTCAAGAGGTCAAATTTAAGGTATCCAGGGGAAGGTCTTGTCAAAAGAGCACACATTTAAAATATTAAAGTCCTAATATCAGCTGTTCAAATTTTACTGCCAAGGTTAAAGTTTTTCAGAAATAGGTTAAACGTCTGGGTCAAGTTGAAAAGGTCAATATTGTTGGTATCAAAAGGATTAATTTTTTAAGCAAGTCAATTCAAAGGTCAAGGTCAAAAATATTTATACACATGGATAGGCCTTGTCAAAATAAATACACTTGTTAAGTATAAGAGCTCTAGCTTGTGATAAACCTTTCTTCGGATTCCACCAAATTTGGACTAGACTTTGGAGTTTGACCCACTTTTACCAAAACATTCCAGAACTTTAACATTAGCCATAACTTTTGAATAGTTGGTGTTATGGTCTTCATACTTCACATGTGTCTGTGTATTCACTGTGACAAGACCTTTAATTGGTTTAAAAATATTTTACCTTGACCTTAGAGTTTGACCTCCTTGTTAAAAACTTCAACCTTGACCATGCATTTGAACCTTTAGTACTCGGGCTTTTATATTTTATATGTGTATTCCTATTGATATGACTGATAATTTTGACCTTTGATCTTGGAGTTTGAATTGCACTTGAGAAACTTCAAAGCTATAAGCTGTCATATGGGGCATCAGTGTTTCGCAAAGACATCTTCTTCTACCTGTGAATTGACTGTACTTTGGAACATAGATGTGTCGTACACCCAGTCATTGCACTTTTCCGAGGAGGAGTTAGATACCACCAAGCATTCCTCATAGTCACCGTCTAGATTTCTTGGTATTGTCCGGTTGATTAACTGCTGGTGATTTTCATTTTGTATTTTGTAAGTGTCATTGTCTAAACCTGGGATCCTACACCTGTATTAAATAGAATATATTTTTCATGTGACTAATAAAAATCTAAATAGCTCTGCTAAATTAAATTATCTTTTCGTAAACAAGAAAGACTTTTAAAACTTTCCGGTATTTCAGTGTAAACTAGAGGTACCTCCCGTCTCACATAATGCCAAAGTCCATGTTTTGCTCCGGGAGACGCGAAAAAAAAAGTGTCAGATCAGTAAGTAAAATAGGAGGTCACAATGGCATTATGTAACAAAGATTCTGTTAAAGTTTCCTAAATCGATTCAGTGGTACAGGAGAAGTTGCGGATAAGGGATGGGTACCCCTCAATATTGTAGAAAGAATAGCCGTGTCCATTTTTTTTTTTTTTTTTTTTGCTCTGGGAAACTCAAAATATGTGTCCGCTCAAAAATTAAAAAAAAATTACATGATGGCACATTGTATAACAAATATTCTGTGAAAGTATCATTAAATTTTATTCAGTGGTATAGAAGGAGTTGCAGATCAGAGATAGGTACCCCAAAGCGTAACAAACGGACGGACGGATGGACATCTTGATTACTATATACCCTCTCACTTTTCAAGATGGGGGAGGCTATAAATATCGAGGTTATTGAATTTCAACCTTTATCGAATGACTTTGATTGGAAAATAATTTGCCAGTAAAATCTTAATTACTTGAAATTTTGAATACAATTTAATGAAACGTTAAAATTTTGAATATTTATATTTTTTGACGCCAAGGAGGTGTAAATGTTGCGATATTATGAGAAAGTAATGGTGACCTGATAGGGCTATTTGCACAAGCTCACAACACGCAATCACGCTTTCAAACAATATGCTGTCACGCTATACTACACAACACGCAGTCGCGATAACACGCTCTCAAGCAACACGCCATCGCACTAACACACAACAAGCCGTCGATCGCGAGTTGTGTGCTAGCACGACGGCGTGTTGTGCGAACTTGTGTTTGAGCGACGGCTTGTTTTTTCTGAACGCGCTTATGACCCTATCCGGACACCATAGATAGTAGTACGCCGTCAAATGTGTCGAGGTATAATATGAATACTTTTTTGGATCTCGTAACCAGCCTCTATAACCAGGCAGAGCGCATGCGCGAAACAAATTTACATCGAGATCGGAAAACAGAGGGGAGGAAATTCGAAATATATAATGAAAACTAGTAATGCTATTCTTGGATGCAGAAATTAATGCATAATTCAATAAAATATTATTTAAAAAGCAGAAGAATGAATAAATCAACTTTGCAATTAGTATTTATTTATTTATTTAATCTTTTATTCATTCATTTATTTATTTTATTTGTTTAATTATTTTTTTTAATTCTAATAATTAATGAACTAGGTAAATTAATTATTTATTCATTAGGAAATTTATATGTCTGTTTATTAATTTATACATTCTTTTCTTCATTAATTAATTATTCTATTGAGTAATCAATTCTTCTATTTATTAATTAATTATTCTATTATTTAATGAATAAATTTATTGATTAATTTATAATTTATGTGTTAATTCATTTATATTTTAATTTGTTTATTTATTTACTTACTTTATATTTTGCTTGATTGTTTATTTATTAATTGGTTTTTTTCTTTATTGGTTTATTTATTTATTATTTATTTATTATTTCTAATAATTAAGTAAATGATTGCTTTACGAATAAATAAATAATTTATTTATCATATGCATTCCTTTTTAGTATATTTTTTTTATTTAATTAATTAATTAATTAAATTAAATTATCTATTTATTCATTCATTCATACATTCATTCATTCATTCATACTTTTTCTGTTATAAACAGGTTCTGTTTATGTATTGCCAGGGTTTGTGTTCCCATCACCAGGGTCTTTAATTTGTATCGCCAGGGTCTGTATACCCATCACCAGGGTCTATATACCCATCTCAAGGGTCTGTATACCCATCACCAGGGTCTATATATCCATCACCAGGGTCTGTATTATCTATCACCAGGGTCTGTATACCCATCACCAGGGTCTGTATACGCATCACCAGGGTCTGTATACCCATCACAAGGGTCTATATATCCATCACTAGGGTCTGTATTATCTATCACCAGGGTCTGTATACCCATCACCAGGGTTTATAAACCCATCACCAGGGTCTATATATCTATCACCAGGGTATGTATACCCATCACCAGGGTCTGTATTATCTATCACCAGGGTTTGTATACCCATCACCAGGGTCTGTATATCCATCGCCAGGGTCTGTATAACCATCACCAGGGTCTGTATACCCATCACCAGGGTCTGTATTATCTATCACCAGGGTCTGTATACCTATCACCAGGGTCTATATATCTATCACCAGGGTCTGTATACCCATCACCAGGGTTTATATACCCATCACCAGGGTCTGTATTATTTATCACCAGGGTCTTGATACCCATCACAAATGTATGTATACCCATCACCAGGGTCTGTATTATCTATCACCAGGGTCTATATATCCATCACCAGGGTCTGTATTATCTATCACCAGGGTCTGTATTATCTATCACCAGGGTTTGTATACCCATCACCAGGGTTTGTATACCCATCACCAGGGTCTGTATACCCAGCACCAGGGTTTATATATCCATCACCAGGGTCTGTATTATCTATCACCAGGGTCTTAATACCCATCACCAGGGTCTGTATACCCATCACCAGGGTCTGTATTATTTATCACCAGGGTCTTTATACCCATCAGAAATGTATGTATTCCCATCACCAGGGTCTGTATACCCATCACCAGGGTCTGTATTATCTATCACCAAGGTCTGTATAACCATCACCAGGGTCAATATATCCATCACCAGGGTTTGTATACCCATCACCAGGGTCTATATATCCATCACCAGGGTCGGTATTATCTATCACCAGGGTCTGTATACCCATCACCAGGGTCTGTATACCCATCACCAGGGTCTGTATTATCTATCACCAGGGTCTGTATATCCATCACCAGGGTCAATATACCCATCACCAGGGTCTAATATATCCATCACCAGGGTTTGTATACCCATCACCAGGGTCTGTATTATATCCCAGGGTCTGTATACCAGGGTCTGTATTATCTATCACCAGGGTTTGTATACCCACAAGGGTCTATATATCCATCACCAGGGTCTGTATATCCATCACCAGGGTCAATATATCCATCACCAGGGTCAATATATCCATCACCAGGGTTTGTATACCCATCACCAGGGTCGGTATTATCTATCACCAGGGTCTGTATACCCATCACCAGGGTCTGTATTATCTATCACCAGGGTTTGTATACCCATCACCAGGGTTTATATACCCATCACCAGGGTCTGTATACCCATCACCGGGTCTGTATTATTTATCACCAGGGTCTGTATTATCTATCATCAGGGTCTGTATCCCCAACACCAGGGTCTGTATACCCATCAGAAGGGTCTGTATCACGAAGGTTATGTGTATCAACTAGGGCTTGTGTGTATTACCAATGGTTTGTGTATCACAAAGAGTATGTGTATCACCAAGGCTCTGTATCACGAAAGTTATGTGTATCGCTGAGCGTTTGTGTGTATCACCAAGGGTCTTTGTATCACCAAGGGTCTCTATCACCAAGGGTATATGTATCATAACAAAGTATGTGTTTCACCTTGGGTTTGTTTATCACCGAGGATGTTTGTATCCCTAATGGTATGAGTATCAGCTAGGTCTGTGTATCACCTTGGGTCTATGTATCACCAATGGTCCTCGTATCACTAAGGGTCTATGTATCACCAAGTGTTATCGTATCACCAACGGTTTGTGTGTATGACCGAGGATATGTGCATCACCAAAGGTTAATGAATCACCCAAGGGCCTGTGTACAACCAAGGATATCTATCAACAATTGTATATGTATCACCAATGGTATGTGTATCACCTAGGGTTTGTGTTTTACCAAGGATCTCTGTACTTTCAGTCCATCAGCATGGTTCATTAACCTATTAGAAGTGTGTGTATGCTTATTACATAGGTCTGAATAGCCATATTAGGGGTTTTCCCTCTTGCTGGGTCGAATTGCCTTATTTTGTATAGGGTGTCCAACCTTTTTAGCATTATCAAAATGAAATTTAATTACTTTTAAGAATGTCTTTGGGTGTGTTCAGTTACAAAGTGAAGGCATGAACGAATTGTATAATGAACTATAATGATTTTCTTGAGATTAAAATTTCTTAATCTTAAGTTATTATTTTATGTTATTACATCATACCTTTTTTATTTTGTAGTGGAATCATGTTAAGGAGGAAGCAAAGGACATTGAAACTTATAACGATGGACAATGATTTTTCATTTACTAGTAGTATGTTTAATATTTAAACATTGTTAATTTCAATCATGATGTATCCTGATTCTTCTATTTCATAAATCGAAAGAAATCATAAAATTCCATTTTGTTTTTCATTTGTTCCACAGAAAATCTGAACATAAACATCCTTTCATAATTAATTGATAAAGTGTGTAATGGTAGAAATTCTCATAAAAGTAGACCGACCAACACAAAGTTCAAATTTCATTTTTATGTTCAATGTAAGTGCCAAAATAGATGCATTCTACAAACTCTGCAAATTTTAAATACTGGTCGTGTCAACATGTTTTCAAGCAGAAAACCAAATGTAGTTTTGCTACAGGGAAATAATATGCAATGTCTGCATTTTTTGAATGGGATGCAGTCGTCTATGGCATATTGTGACTGTCTTGGAAGCTCATCATTATTAGAATTAAGTCAAACCTTAAGAGCACGTTTATGAGCTTAAAAATCAAAGTTCATTTGTTAAATCTTGTCACATAAAGATATAAAAGTACTGTCACATCAGGTGCAAAGCTTTGGCCAAGATTAAAGTTTTGTTAAGGTCAAATGGCGAGGCCACAGATCATATGCAAAACTAGAGGTATTGTGAGCAATGAGCTCACTAAATGATACTCCCCCCCCCTCCCCCACCTCCCATATGGTTATAATGGCAAAGTCCATGATTTGCTATGACCGGGAAACCCAAAATACGGTATGTGTAGGATCAAAAAGTAAAACAGGAGGTGCACAATGGCAATATTAATAAAGATTCAGTGAAAGTTTCATTGAATTTCACTCAGTGGTATAAGAGGAGTTGCGGATAAGGGATGGGTA